CATCCACTTCTGGTTTACGTGTTTATTGGCAAAGTTCTTCATTTGTTGTAGTTGAATACCTCCAGATATGCGCTAAATATCCTTGAAAACTGCTTCACTCAGCGTCCACGATTATGATACGTTAAATAGCTGAAATATCTGGAAATTGTCTTATGGTTTTTTAATTTTGATATTCCAAGTGCTATAGTGCTCTTCTCCGAATTTCCCACAATGCATTGCGTTTTGATATTCCAGGTGGACACTACTATAGTGCTCATTCGAAAATTTCTTTCCATGTGTTACCTACGCAATTATGTTTTTCTTCTTCAGTTGGTCCCCCATCTCCTGTTCACGTGATTGCTCTCATGATCGATCATTTGTTAGTTCTAGTCCACCACATTCCTAAAAAATCCTCGAAACTTCTAATTATAAAGAAAGAGTGTTCTCACCATTGTGATCTGTAAAGTAATATGTTCTTCTTCCGTTATTGTTTGCTTTTGCTTTTTCTCGGTTTTTCTTTCTTCCGATTTGGTTCCTTCCTCCTTCAGTGCAATCAGCATTTCCTAGTCTATGTTCCGTCTTGTTGTGCCCGCTGTACAAATGGTTAAGTTAAGTCACCGGATCGGGTTGGTCAACCAATTAATCCGCCTCTACCAATTCATTTCTATGAGTAATGATTATCCAAAAATTCTCGATGATAATACGGAAGAGTTCCATATTGCTGAAACCATATTTGTTGGATCTCATTAGAGTATTTGATTTCATTGCTCCAATTGCCACAATAATAGAGTTTCATTTGTAGGTAATGTTGGCTCTCGGTTGCTAGACGAACGCCTGGTGGTGGGTACGGGGACGTCCTCCCCCGCCAAGTTCATTTCCCGTCGGGACAATTGAATTAATTTTTATTAGAATAATCATCTTGGGATATTCAGTTGCTTTTCGCGACAATTTATTAGATTGTTGCTCGTGTAAAAGGAGGAAGCCTTATTCGAAAGTAAAACGGCGACAGATGAAAAACTGGCCCGGGGTGCTTTATGAAAAATCTGGATTTCTTTGTAATCAGCGGGAGAAAATTTACATTCTAGGCGTTCCGGAATCGGAGCCTTGTTCCATTGTAGTTATTTTCCCATGGAAACTACAGCTGCAATCTGGATTTAATAAGTTCCTTTTCATTTTTATCGTGGCTATTTAGACCACACTTTACATGTAATGAATTAATTTTTCAAAGGAAGTATCAGCGGCTACGGTAATACGTTTCGTCAATCATCCTGCTTGAGCCTGAGCAAGTATTTAATTCAGACGAAACTGCACTGTTTTTAGGCAGCAAAGGATAAGTGACACTTTTGCTATGTTCTAATGCATCTGGAGATTGTGTCATTGAGCTACTGATGCTTTACAGATCGTTTAATCCTAGGGCTTTAAATTATCAAAATTCATTCATTCATTTTTGGTGATATTTTACAAAGCATGATACTTATCTATTACGAAAACGCAAAACAAATTAGATTTCCATTTATCATAACAGTTCCAATCACTCTTATACACACAAAATGGCTGCATTTCACTCTTTTATACACAGATTTCTTAATACGCCACTCTCAACAGAAAACTACAACAAGGAACTCAATATAATTAAACAAATTGCACTGAACAACGGCCATGGAGATTAACAAAAGGAGACAAATGTATTGCTTAACGATCAATTAGATTTATTGAACTTAAATTCTCACAACAACATTAATTAAGGTTTCATGGTAATTTTTCGGTATATATAGTAGCAAGTAGTTTGTAATTATTACATTTAACAAAGATACGGTATTGTCGAAACAATTGTCATGTGAAAATATATAATTTCGTGAAAATCTGAACTTTCAGTTCTTATTTATTTTGACAATGATTGTATTTCTGGCGGTTCAACACATTCCTCGCCTCTAATACCAAATTCGGTCAGTGGAACAATCGCAGCGTAAAATTACCAGCCTCTCCACCCCTCTTCGACAAGCACATCCCTCCTCCCCTTAGGAGATCTGAGTCCAATGAGCCGTTTCCCCGTCGCCTATCGAAAGTTTCAATCGGCTCTCCGCTTTTTACGTCTCACAATACTTCTGGAAGGGCGTTAGCCTTAATTCCCGGCTTATTTCTCTCCGAAGCCCGTCATAAAATTGAAAATTTTCTAGCTGCCAGCGATTTCCTAGAAGCTATCGGAAACCGAACTATAGGATTTTGCAGGGGCGTATCCAATAGATATATCTGTTTGCCCTTGTTTTCTCTTAGTATTTTCTCTGTAGTATTATTATTTATTATTATTGTTATTAATATTATTACTATTATTATTAAAATATTCTAAACTCCTGATTGCTGAGCTAAAAAGAAGATATATATTAAATATATTATGTGAGTAAAATGTTGGCCAACATTATAACGATGATTTTCAGAAAGAACGTTCAATTCGTTTTAAGTGTTTGTCCTTGGTTTTCGCTTTTGTAAGTTTTCTTATATTTGTTGAAAAATAAACGTCTATATGCATTATCATTACTATTATTAAGTTTTACTAACCAAACTTGCGGAGAGTAAACAGACTAACCACAACCTACTGGGACTAAACAGACAAAACAAATTTAACTACTACTAACCGATAAATGTAATAGTTACACATGTCAGAGTAACTTTCAAATCTTGTCACACCATGTTTTTTTTAAAGGGGACCACTAGTCTAACCGAAACTTACTGGGACTAACCAGACTAACCAAATTAAACTAGCTCTAAATGTGAAAGAGGATATTTCACATCTTATCACTTAACTTACTTAAACTTAATGTGGCTCAACAGATTAAACGAATTAAATTAGCTCTAAATGTAATATTTATACAGGTCATGTAATAATTTATAATCCCGTTTGTGCCAGAGGTTCTTTCAAATTTCATCACACCATATTTTTTTAAAGACGATCGTTAACTACCCAAATATAACCAGGACTTATCAGAGCTAACAAAAACTAATCAACTAATACTAACCCAGTCTAACCGAAACTTACTGGGACTAACCAGACTAAGCAAATTTAATCACCACTAACGGGTATGTGTAATGTCTACATATGTTATGTAATAATTTACAATTATGTTTTTGTCAGAGGATCTTTACTTTCTTATCACACCATTTTTTTAAAAGGATATCAATTAACCAAATTTACCAAGGTTAAATAATAAACTAACCAAATTTATAACCGTGTATAAGTCAGATAATCTTTCAAATCTTAGACTAACCAAAATTTATCCCACCCAACAAATTTCCGAGCAGAATGTCACTTCGGTTGTCAAATCACAAAACAATGTGATATTTCTACATCGTGTTCAAAATTTTATTTTTGGGGTCAAATTTCATTGTGTTGTTTCCCTAAATAAACAAATATAACCGGGACTAACCAAAACTTACTGGAAGTAAATGGACCAACCAAAATTAACCACAACTAATCAAAACTAAGCTACTATCAATCCTCTACGTAGAATGTTAGTTACTGTAACTAGAAATGAACTATTTAACACACACCCTACAGACTTTTCACATATATAGAGAAGAGAGAAAAAATTTAAAAATTGGCGAACGCACGCGGACCCCGATCATTGCCGAAGATTTTCGTCGAAAACCCGAACACACCCGAATAATTACGAAAATTCAAATTTTACCGCCAAAAGTGACTTTACAAAACATTTTCGTCATCAGATTTGAATTTCCGCTGTGAAACTTGGTATTTTATTGCACTTTGCGTGTCATGTTTCAATATTTTTTTCAAAGCAACGAATCCTTAACTAACCAAATATATCCAGGACTAACCAAAATTAACCTAAACTGACCAAGACTAACTATATCAATTTTCTAAGGTAAAGGACTTGGTTTCCTAACGCCGACGCGTCGCGGAGCAGCCGGAACGAAACTACAGGCTGGGAGGGCGGACGGGGGGCCTCCCGGCGATATTAATTTTCGTAATTTCTTGTCTCGGCGACAAGAAACTCTGTTGTTACGGCCAAAGTTGGGGCGAAAAACTATCGCCGGTGTTGCGCGACAAAACGTTTTTATTGTGGTCCCGCAAGGGGCGGGGGACCCGACCGTCCCCCGACCGCCGCCGCGTACGTAGCGAAAATTTATTAGTTAGTCCGGGAGATACGTGCTCGGGTTTTAGCAATTTCGTTCGAAAAATGCGAACGTAAAACCTACGGCGACGAGATTTACGCGTGGGGCGGTAAGGGGGCGCGGATCTTCCCCCATCCGAGCCTTCGAGGGGGGCATGATGTTAATGGCCCGAAGCGGTTTCGTTTTTGTGCGCGTTTTACGCTGGCGTGAGTTAATTTTTTCGTGTGCCTCCATCTGTCGATGAAAGGCGAAACTTTGTTTGAAAGACCGGAAATGGTGTAGTGTTCTTTTTTTAAGAGAAGTACGAACACCTTTTTTCCAAAATTTTTTAAAAAACCTATCGCAGCGTGAGTATTAAAGAAATTCAAATTTTTCGTGGTATTTATAACACAATTTTATTTTTTTTTTTACAACAGTAAATGTATTGAAACGGGCATGACGTTTGTTTTGGAAACTGTTATATGCAGATTTTCATTTTTACATGAAAATATTTAGTCAAATCTTCAACATTTATTATAGACTGGTGTGAGCGTGTCAGAGACGATGGATGCAGAAGTTACTCATTCCTACTACTAATGTCGTCATTTAATTGATCTGATCTTCAGGAACGTAGACTACAAAAAGAAAACCTTATATATCCTAAACGTCTCAAGTTTTGAGATACAGGGTGGAGAAGCTCTCAAATGCATTTAATTCAATTTTGTCGGAGAGAGAGTGGTCAGGTTTTATAGCGGGACGATTCTTTGGTCTGTGGTTTTCTTTGAATGTGCCTCACCATTTTTCCAAGTGTCAAGTTGTCAGTAAAAATAAAAATTGTGTTTAACGTAACTTTACATAATTATTGACTAGTCGTCATGAAATAATTTTAAAAAAAAGAAGAAGAAATCACTCACGCCTGTCGATGAATCTAAAGTAGCCGTGGAAACCGCTCGAGTTGGATTTCCGGTGCCCGGAATGGAACTCGAGGACGAGGCCCGGACCCGAGGAGTACAGAACCGGAGAAATATCCGTCAGTCGGCCGCACATCAGGTTTTCCCAGGGCGTGTACTCGTTGACGTCCGCGCTGTCCAAATGGATGAATATTTTCACGTAGTCGCCGCGAGCGCAGCTGAAACGGAAACCAAATCTTCCATTAATTACAACACGAATGGTCGTATGAGGTACTTTACATTTTGACTGTGACTCTTAACGACGCCCGGCGTTGCCAGACCGTCAAAATTTTCCGATTTAGCGGGGAAATTACGTAAATCTGATGGTTTCCATAGTGCATTCAGCATTCAGAACTAACAACACAATAGGGAAAATTTTAAAAATAAATAAAACGAAATATCCAGAATCTCAAAAATCAATTGTCTACAAGTTGAAATGCGGATCTTGCCCTAAAATTTATATTGGACAAACATGCAGATCCTTCCAGAAATGCATTAACGAACACAAAAGAGCGTTTAAAAACAATAGTCTAGATTCCAATTATTCATCACACTTAAACACAGAAAACACATTTTTAACGACAATTTTGATATTTTACATACAGCACAAAGAGTAGAAAATTAAATTTAATGGAAGCCATGGAGATTAACGATCAATTAGGTTTAAATACCTCTCTTTTATTTAACTTAAATTCTCATCTTTAATTAAGTTTTATGCTCATTTTTCGGTATATATAGTTACAGGTAGTTTGTAAATATTACATCTGATAAAGACACGGTGTTGTCGACACAATTGTCATGTAAATATATATAATTTCGTGGAAATCTGAACTTTTGGTTCTTATTTATTTTGATAAATGGATTTTCATCAGGTAAAAGCCACCTCAGTTCAATAATTGGAGATTGTAAGATTAATTTTTATTTTAAGTGAATTCAGCGGCGTGCCATCAATATCTGCCAAATCGCCGCCCTAATTATTGACATTCGACACCCCGTATACATAAAATATTCCCTTAGACGCGAAACAGGCTTCCCTATCGCGTAATTTCCATTTCCCGCCACCTCCGGAAAACTAATTGGAGGAAAACTTCACACACAAGGTAATCGTCAACGCCAGACGGAAATTCGCAACCCGCCCCCGCCCGGCCGCCCCCCGGGGGACGGTCGGAACAACGAGACAACACTCGAGACGATAATTGTTAAGCGCATTGTTTCTAACGTGCCCTGTACTGCCGAGGACTTAACTAGTCGCCCGGGGTTACGACGTCTGCCTCAAAATTTCCCTTTTTCGCTGACAAACGAACGTCCCTTTGCCGCGAAAGAACCGTAAAGACGCGGATATGCAACCAACATTACGCTTCGTAATGTTGGCTGCCTAACCCAAGACCACGAAAGAGCGCATTGCAGCAGTCACTGGTATTTACCCACTGCACATACTGAGGGACCTTATTTGAAGTAGTTATTTAAGGGAGTGTGTCGTAGGTGGCCCCCTCGGGGGCGATGATAATCGACCAACACCCCGCCCCCCTTCGTTCAAGATAATACACGCTATATCCATCTCCATCACGTACTCATAAATCTTTGTCGCCGGGATTTACTATCCCTGATCGTTTTCATATTCCTCCCTCGACGAGACTGAAAAATGATATATGGCACTATATAACTTCAAACAAATAAAGTAATTTCCGCGCATTTTAAGGTATTTCGCGGCAAATGTAGCGACGAAACGGATCCCGCTTGTTTATCTTGATTTATCCTTCGTCTACGTAAGCGCGTATACCTTGTAAGGTGTGTCCCGAAGTATATCGTTTCGGCTTGAGGCGGACCGTCCTCCTGAAAGTATCGCCGTCACTTTATTTTTATTTATTTTTATCTCCATGCAGATTTGTTTGCCTTGTAAGTGACCGGTAAATGCTTTACGTTCTTAAAACATCGTGGGTTAGTTGATTTTCCGATCACGACTAGCTTTCCTTTTTCTCTCCCATTCATATTGGCAGCTCTTAACACTGTTATTCGTTCTTCAGAAAGTTTTCGACATACACACTTTTCGCTTCGAAATTTAAAAAGCACCAGTTTCGTTAGCATTAAAAATGTCTTTAGCAGGGTTCTCTTCTGCTAGTTTTGCCATCTTCTTCTCCAGCCAATCGTTAATGACGTTCCTGTCGACATCATGGGCTTCGCCACTTGTCTGTCCATAATTTATACCTTGTTTCTGTTTGAACTTCCCCAACCATCCTTCCGAAACCTTGAAATCGATAATGCCAAGCTGCTCGGCAAACTTTTCTGCTTTTAGTTTTACGATAGGTCCAGAGAGAGGTACATATGATGGTGGATGCGCCAGTGATTTATTTTTAATTGCTGGATATGTGTGGTTGCCTAAATCATGGTGCTTATTCGTTTACGTCAAATCCCGATAGAACGAGTAACGGCAATTATTTATACTTTCAAAAACGCGAAGCCGAATTAGTCTTTGCGGGTGTGCTCGTGCTTGCTGACCGAGCACTGAAAAAATTTCACCCTCCACCCGGAAAAAACGAAAACCCGACCGTAATAATTGAAATTTTAATTTGAATTCCGAATCGCGCAGCGAAAATGGGCCAAAATTTCACGCCCGCTTTTAAGGGGCGCTCCTAAAAGCGTCCGTATTTCTTTATACTTCTGTTACAATTACGGAAAGCGCTGTTATCTGCGGGTTCGCCGCCGCCGCCGCCGAGATTACGTCCGGATCGCTCCGGGACTCCGGGGTCCGCTTTAAAACCGCGATAAAACCTTTTTTTTTTATCCGGTCCGGCTCGCCCCCTCCCCCCGACCGTAATCGCCGGCGCAAATGGTCCTTGAAATTTTCCACGGTGTTTGTTTTGGTTCCGGGAATTCCGGCGGCCGGCAATCAGAATCCGGGACCTTTCGGGGAAAAAAAACACGAGAGAGACGAAGGAAATTCAAGAGCGGTGACATTAACAATCCCGGAGACTATCCGTAGTGCCACATTTTTATAAAACCACAAATAGTTAATTTTTTTGAGCAGCAGGATATCTTTGGGAATGAGCAGTTTGGATTTAGGGAGGGGCGCGCTACCATACAAGCGATAAGTAAGGTTGTGGGAGATGTGGTGGTGGGTCACCAAGACCTTAGCAAGGCCTTCGACTGTATCTCGCACGATCTTCTTAAACAGAAGCTGTTTAGGTATGGATTTTGCGGCGAAACCCTTAAGCTAATAGATTCTTATTTACTCGACAGGGAACAGTTTGTGGGCGATGACAGACGTAAATCCTCTTTGGTGAAGGTCTCCAGTGGTGTCCCGCAAGGTTCCGTACACGGGCCTGTATTTTTTATAGTGCATGTTGCTGATCTATGCAGTTTTTTGGGGTCTGTCAAATGCCCTAATGACAGTGTATTATGCTATAAGACTTCTTGTTGGGGCTAAGCACAATGAACATTGTACTCCACATTTTAAAAAATATAACATAAAGACACTGCCCTGGATCTATATTCTCTATAATATTTAAGAAATTCACAAACATACTAATATATTTGAAGGTGTGTCTCCTGGTTATCCAACACGTGTAAAGAGTCTTATAAGAGTTCCAAAGTACAGGCTAGTTTCATGAGACAAAAAGTCTTTAAACATGAACTTGTACAATATGCTGCCAGATAGGTACAGACATATGGCTTTTGAGCTGTTCAAAACAAACGTTAAAGTGTTGGTTATTGAAAATTGTTTCTGTAGTGTTGAAGAGTATTCCATCAAAATAAAAAAACTAAATTAAAATCTTTGGCTTACTGAAATGTGTGAAGATGATAGCATACTATTTTGCACACGATTTTTCAATATCGCCTGACAGAATAAGAAGCATAGTATACTCTATGCGATTGTAAATAAGCGATATATAAAATTTTAAAAATTGACTTTGACCCGGTCGCATTTTGAATTTAGACTTTAATTTTTCAAAATACTCGCATTGCTCCGGGAATGTAAAATTTTTCTGGAAAGTTGAGGTTAATGTGGGCTATTCCTAAATATCTCAAAATCTTCCCTACTCCCCTCCATTTACCCGCAACTAATTTTATTTTGAATTTCTTAACCCTCTCACGAAAATAAATCCTGACGGCGAACCGTATTATTTATATTTAACTTTTTAACACCGTTCGATACAGAAAGGAGCAAAATATACGTCATAAAAATTTCAGGTCTTTACGATTATAAGTAACTGATAAACAAAAATTTGAAGATTAACTATCGAACTTGAGCCGGTATCCTTTTTAATTTAGATTTTTATTTTCCAAAATACTTACATTGCTCCGGGAATGTTAAAATTTTTATCTAAAGTTGAGGCCAACGAGGTCAATTTCTAGATACTTCAAAATCAATTCTTCGCGTTTATAAATAATCGATATACAAAATTTTAAAAATTAAATATCGAACTTGAGCCGGTTTTCTCTTCAGTGAGGTTTATTACTAGATTTTGTTTTGAATTTTTTGACCGTTGTTTAGCACCGTTCGATACAGGAAGGAGGAAAACATATGTCGAAAAAACTCAATTTTTTAAGTTTGTAAATAATCGATATACAAAATTTTCAAAATTGACTATTATATAAGGTTGTTCGGAAAATCATTTCGTTTTTTCCCGTCAGAGGACTTAATTACGTTTTTTCGAAACCAACTTCACACTTAAGCCGCATAACCATTATATGTCTTCAGAGCTGATATTGCAAGGCTTGTGTGTGAAAAAGTTCTATTAATTCTACGCAGTAGTTTTTGGTTGGTGCCCTTTTAAATATGGAGAGCAATAAGCAGCATTTTCGTCATATTTTAGTTTTTTACTTCAGAAAAGGTAAAAATGCTGTCCAAGCGAGAAAAAAATTGACGGATGTGTATGGAGAAGGCGTGTTAACGGTACGCCAGTGCCAGAACTGGTTTGCAAAATTTCGATCCGGCAATTTTGATGTCGAAGATGCCCCACGGTCTGGAAGGCCGGTCGAAGCTGACAAAGATGCGATAAAGGCATTAGTTGATGCAAATCGGCGAATAACCACACGAGAGATCGGTGAGAGATTAAATTTGTCGAATTCGACTGTTTATGGCCATTTGCAAGGCATAGGCTTAACCTCGAAGCTCGATGTGTGGGTGTCCCATGTCCTTACGGAGCGATATTTGTGTCGTCGCGTTGACGTGTGTGATTCGCTCCTCAAACGTCAAGAAAATGATCCATTTTTGAAGCGGATTATTACTGGGGACGAAAAATGGGTTGTATACAACAATGTTAAACGCAAGAGGTCATGGAGCAGAAAAGATGAACCGGCTCAAAGCGTGTCAAAAGCCAACATTCACCAAAAAAAGGTGATGCTCTCCGTTTGGTGGGATGTCAAAGGAATCGTTTTTTTTTTGAGCTTTTGCCGGACAATACAACGATTAATTCAGAAGTCTATTGTCATCAACTGGACAAATTGAATGATTCACTTAAAGAGAAGAGGCCCGAATTAATCAACAGGAAGGGTGTAGTGTTCCACCAGGATAATGCGAGACCTCACACAAGTTTGGTCACTCGCCAAAAACTTTTACAGCTTGAATGGGACGTACTGCAACATCCACCATATTCTCCAGATCTGGCGCCTTCCGACTACTATTTGTTCCGGTCCCGGCAAAATTTTTTGGATGGCAAAACCTTTACCTCAAATGAAGATGTCAAAAACCACCTGAACCAGTTTTTTGCCAGCAAGGACCAAAACTTTTATGAGAGGGGAATTATGTTACTGCCAGAAAGATGGCAAAAGGTGTTGGACCAGAATGGCCAATATATAATTTAATAAAATATTTATTCATTATACGAAAACTGTCTTTCATATTCCCCAAAAAAAACGAAATGACTTTCCGGACAACCCAAAAATATTAATAAATATAAATAAGCGACATACAAAAATTAAAAAATTGACTATCAAACTTTGAGCCGGTTTTCTTTTTAATTTAGATTTTTTTTTACATCGCTCCGAGAATGTTAAAATTTGTTTCAAAAGTTGGGGTCAATTAGTTCTATTTCTCGCTACTCCCATACGTTTATCCGCACCTATATTTTTTTAAATTTTTTACCCCCTCACAAAAATATTTCCCGATGGCGAACGGTACGATTTATGTTCGACTTTTTGATACCATCCGATAGAGGAAGGAGCAAAATACATATGATACAAATTTCTTTTTCATTTGAGCTTTTATTTTTTTTTAAATATATAAATAATATATAAAATTTTTGTCAAAAGTTGAAGTCAATTAGGTTTATTTATCGATATCTTACAGTCCCCCTAGTTGCTTCCGTTTTTCCGTAACTATTTTTTGTTAGAAACTTCTTCTTAGACCTATATTCGATTTTTCGATACCGTTCGATTGAAGAAGCAGCAATGTATACACAACGTCAATTGCAGCTTTTCACAATTGTAAATACTCCTTACAGAAAAATTCAAAAATTGATTATCGACTTTTGAGACATTCTTTGGTTTTTTAATTTTTACAGTACAGTTGCTCCAGCAAAGTTAAAATTGTAATCGAAAGTTCAGGTCAATAAGGTCTTTTTCTAAATACCTCAAAATCCCCATACCCTCTCACAAAAATAATTCCTCAAGGCGAGCGATATGTTTTTTATTGAACTTTTCGAAACCGTGTATAAGTCAAACAGCTATCGGAGTCTGTATTGAGGTATTTTGGACAAAAAACAACAGACAAGTAAGATCCTGAAGTTTATTGTCTTTTTCACATGTTTCTTCCGTAGCCGTATCCGAAAATGGCGGCGAAGTTGGGCCTGTACACGACGAGCATGTAGTACATCACGACGAAGTACATTAGGACTCCTGCGAGGTCCATGGACGCCATAAAGGCCCACAGCAGCGCCCACACTCGCTTCCTGGCTTCCTCCTCACGCGGGTTCCTCGGCGCCGATTCTCTATCGACGGCCTCCCCTTCGACCTGGTGGATGTCATCTCCGTGGCGGTCCGCCTCTGTGAGCTCGTTCCGAATGTTAACCAGTGCGCCGCTGGTACCCGGCAGTAAATTTTCGAGTTCCCTATCTTCTTCTCCGCTCGCGGGTAGCGCTCGGTGGGCGCCTTCTCCGTCGGCGACGCCACTTTCTATTTCTCGAGGAGGCCCGGCCCGGATTTCATCGTGTACGTTTTCTTCCGGGGCGCCCGGATCGCCGGTGTCCTCTATCCCGTCTTCCCGCACTCCTGGTCGTTTGATCGGGCCAAAAAATTTAAGTTCTAAGAGTTATCAAGCAGTTTAGGTATAGGTTTCAGTTTACAGTTAGGGTTGTCGTCCTTTCTGATTGACTCGGTGTATTTAAAATAAAGGCGCAGGGAAAAAAGAGATGTACGTCGCTTGTGGCGTAATGTACGTAAGCGCTTGGAACGTCGTACGGGAATCAGCAACGAAAAAGAAACGTTTTTATTTTTTGTCTGTTCTCCGTATCCTGTTATCTGTTCTCTGTTCTCTGTCGATATTTCATAAAAATGCGAATAACTTCGGAGAATTGAAATTTAGGACTAAAGACAAATTAAGAGATGAAACCTGCTCATAAATGAAGGCAAATGTCATCATTTCTTTAAATGAAATCAGTGGCTTGCCACTGACTGTGCGTGAACGGATTAGATTTTGGTTAATTATGTCGCCACGGCACTGGTTAAATAACTTTTTTTATGAAAAATAAAATATCTACCTATATATCTATCTAGTATTTACTTAGCAACTGCTATCCTTCAGAAAAGAAATTATTTTAATGTTCGTTTTACTTTTACAGTTTTAATGAAATAACATAACATATAAAGATTTAAAAAATACACCTCAGAATTTACGTAGCCCGTATTCGTACTAATTGAAGTATTTTAAGAAAACTGTTAGACAATAATAATGATACTTCTCTGCATGCTATCATGTTAACGATATTGTTCCATAAATTAAATTTCTTCGAAAACTATCGGAGATTGGAAGAATTTTTATTTTTAGGGAAATCAGTGGCGTATCATGCCACGTCTGCCAAAATAGACAGGCGAAATTTGGGTACACTGAATAATGCATAGTAGTAATGACAGTTCAAGAATAAATTTTCTCATTTTTACAAATAAATTCCCATAAGAAAATTTAAGCATGTATATATAAAAAATAGTAAAGTGAGTAGCGAGCTCACCTTCGACTTTATCAAAAAGTGTGCGGCCCCCCCGAGGGAGCATCTCGGTCTCCTCGTCCTTGCCGGCAAATTCCAGGGGCGGACTCTCGCAAAAGAACCAATCTTTTAAGTATCGCCACATCTCACCCCGATCGCGATCGCACTTGAGACTGCTGGGATCGACACCATCGATCGAGGCCGTTGTCGATCGCTCACTATAGTCCAGGACGTTTCGGCTACGACATACGTAGCCAGAAAACGTCCGAAGTCTACGTACACCCGTCATTTTTCGCTTCTAAGCTTGGTAGTGGTGGAAAAAATATAAAAAAAAAACAAGACCCCAGTTCTCATCGCTAGCAGAATAATTTTACAGTCCAGAAATAAAAATAGATTTCTTTAATGAAGCCTGCAAGTAGGCAACCCACAATTTCCCCTGTGGTTTAAGAAAAAGGCGTTTTCTTCTTCGCCCATGGTTTTTTCGAAGGGTCGTGAAAGAAGATCTGAACGTTTTCAGTAAGAATATTATTAACAATTAATCGGGGTTCGCTTTGTTTCGTCATAAACGAAGCTGATATTTTAAAGCGAATGAAAAAAAAAGCTCCATTAATAGGAAGGGAGATAAAGCTAGGGTTTTATTTCCAAAAACTCACTCTAGCTTTGTTTCTGAAATCTTAATGAACTGTTCATATTTTGTTTCCACTCGTTCTTATATTTTTTAGACCCTTTCTGCTTTTATTGCGGATCACAATAATTGTGTTTTGGAAAACTGCAATATTGATGCACATTAACTTTCCCAGAAATGATTTTTTTTTATTTTGTTATGTTATGTTAACAAATAAAAAATAAAGAGTATAGCTCCCACCACTAGATAGAAAAATAACACCTTAAAATTAGGCAACCCGCAATTTCTATAGGATTTTTTTAAAGGATTCTTTTGTATTGTTACTAGTATGTGTATTAGACTTTGTGATAATTATTGTTGAACTTTCTATTTTCAAAAGTGGCAATAAATTGTTTCCCAGGACTTATTTTATTTGCATGTGTTCTTATATTTTAGACACTTGTTATGATGGATAAGTGTTCGTTTTTGGTTGAAAAAGGTTTGTTCAACCATAGTGTTTATGTGTATATTACTGTTGTGTTGCAACAGCGCTGGACAAAACATATTAGTTAATGTATTATAGTTTTTACAGGACCGTAATGAGACCCATTTTGTAGAAAACAATTTAAAAATTTCAAATTCTTTAGATTTCTTGTCTTGGACTACACTTGAAAGTTCATTATTTGTTTCGCGAAAATGTTATTTTTTGAGAACTTCAATATATGGTATGATAACTAAGATAAACACCGTTTGAACAAATACAACTTATTATTCGAAATAAGCGAGTTGTTATTAAATTGCCACTCGCTACTTAAACAATTAAAATTCCTTATATCGACTTCCACTTTAATGTATTTTTCTTTTTTCTTGCTGTAAATTTTACCACTTCCGAGAAATTTTGGAAAATATTTCATTTTTCAATATTAATTTTAATTCACCTGTTAATGGTTCGTCAAAAAAAATCCATACAAATCTATGAAGCAAAGAAAAGAAGAGAAAGGCGACTATTATGTTCATTGTTCGGTTTTTTTTTATTGTTGGATATGATTTTTGTTTTGTTTATTTCTTATATTAATACTTTTCATACAAAATGCTGCACCAAAATTAAATTTATTTTAAGGCAACTGGAAAATAAAACAGAAAATTTAACTAACTTTTTTGAAACTTGTCCTATTACTGCCACTAAAAACTTCGCATGAATAAGAGATAAAGTAAGACATTGCCAAAATAAGAAGTGCAAAAGCGATGTTAACCTACGAAGTCGTTCAGGTCGCTAAGCTTTGGCGCCGAAATTGCTCGGGTGCACGTAGTACCTTCCAGCATACGCCTTCGTCTTGGTCTAATGCGAATCACGTCATCGGTATAGGCGACGACGATAAATGCTTTACCACGTACGCACCTTTTCTATAGGGGTATCGAATATCCCGTAATTATTGATAAGGCGATCAGGCTCGACGAAATGTTTGTGATTTATGTCCGTGTTACGGCTAGCGTCCAGGGAATCGCGTGCACCGTTAAAATTCCGATTCGATTGCTGAATTTTTATTTTCGATGGCCCATGCAAAAGTGGCAGCCCAAAGTTGCCAGCCAAAATGGCGACGAGTTTTTGAAAAAAGGAAAAAAGGAAAAATTTCAAATGGAAAATATTTTTTCGTTGTATACTTTGTCTCAAAGTATACCGTTTCGGATTATCGACGCGCCAGGCTACTTGACATTGACGGTCCACCACTGATTTCTCTTAAAATAAAAATAACTCTTACAATATCCAATCATTTCAAAAGAAATTTGATTTCTAAAAAAAATAAAAAGCTGTTCTCTGCATAGTCATAAAAATATATAACAGAAAACGAAAAACCAAAGAATTATTAATTCTATTGTTGTTGTTGTTTAACAGTTGTTTGACATCAGTTTTTAAATTCGGTCCTTCGCGTCTTGTTCTTAAGCAAGAAGACGCAGAAGATTCGGCTCCATAAAATTTTATTCCCGAAATTTTTTCAAAAATGAAAATTGGCCATAACTGAAAGACTGTGCTTAGGATGTCAGTTAATGTTATATGGCGATGTTGTATTTAAGATTTTCTTCTGTTGTACACGGTGTTCAAGATATTAGGTACTATATTCAAAAATTGTGTCTGAAATTTGTAGCCACATCGAGGGCCATCACCATTTCACGATTTCTCGTCCTCAATCTAGACGCGATGACGTCATTTAACGTACCGCATGGCATCAGAAAACAAGTGTTTTCTTGAAAACTACTTAATCCATTGGAAAAAATCATATACCAGGAAACGTGGGAGATCCAAGGCTATAACCCTCTATTTCGAACATTGAATTATATACAGGGTGTGTCGTTCATGGACAAAAAAATCTATCTTTTTGTGGGTAAATTATTGGGGATCAATGAAAACCTGCTAAGGATGCGATAATTTGGTTTGAAAAGTATAGTAAACTATGTCGAGAGAGAGTTTCAGGTTTTGTCAATTATACAGGGCGCGCGAGATATTTGGAAAAATATCATTCGACAACACTATAATTTATACAAATTTTAATATTTAACAAAGTTTGCCGTAAACTTGAAGTTCGGCGAGACTTGAAAGAAACTTTATACAGGGTGCCTGCACAATAAAATTACATAGATTTTGCGAAAATTCCATAGTGGTCCCCAGGAGCGCGATAGAAAAACAATGCGTTCCTCTAATACAAGAAACCGCGAAGCGGCTTATTTGGGAAATAAAACTTGCTTAGTACCTTTCCGAACAAAACCCCAAATAATTAGATTCTGGACCTGTTCGGCCATATTTCATGCTTACAGCTTGCCCGGGTCTTTCCTTAATTCGCATCAGTTAGTCACTTTCTTATATCTATGAACAGACTTTACATTTCTAAATTGTAATGAGATTGCTCGCGTGTTTTAATAAAATAAACAATAATTTATCTCTCAAAAACGAACCTAGAGCATCTAGACTTCTATAGGTGTGTGGACAGCGTCGTAGTAGATACTTTGGGAAGTATTTACATCAGCTTACCTTGAGAACGAGTACCTCAAGTCAAATCCTGAACCTTTTTATTTTACCTATTTTTTTTAGAAAAATGCAGACGCGGGCGTACCTCGAGAACACCCCGTATAAATCGATTCCGATCGCGTAGGCGGATAAACAAATAGATAAACGCGGGATGGTACATTGCCAGCGTCCGAATTGACATTTTAGCAGTTTAGGCCGCTGCCGCTCCCATTAACAACATAATTAATGTAAATATAACGGGATCAACAATTTAGCTAAAAGCCGACGGCAAAAACGGTCAAACGCAGTAATTTCGTTCGAAATAACGAAAATTATTTCCTACGCCCCCGGGCTCGATATTTGCGATTTTCGTTTCAATATCGAATTCCCTGGCCGCAAGCGGAGCTTTGTTTATAAAAAAAAACGAAATAAAATAAATTAAATTATAAAAATGATTTTTTTTAAACAAAACTAACCGATAAGTTAGCTTAACCCCACAGATTCTTTCTAATTTAATGCGAAAGTGAATTTTGATGCACAAAGATCTAGCCGTAGCAGATGAGTTTTAATTCTAGCGCAAGCGCGCTTTGTTGATTTCGGTGAAATATCGACAGAATTAGATTGAAAGTTTGAAGTAAAAGAAACCTAACCTAAAAAAGTGGTTTGCTTTAACTTACCAGTTTGACTTGGTTGTTTTATTTTCAGTTTTTGAAGAAATTTCCGTCATATTTCCGTCACATCGTAGGTATGTTATTCTAAGATAATGCGCACTGTGCTGACTGTGAAATGGACTTTTCCAATAATTCCAGCTTAAAGGCTCACATAACGAGAAAGCATCCAGTTTCTTTTAATTTTTACTTGATGTCTGTCTTGTTTTTTTAATTATAAAGGCACCAAAAAAATTTTTTTTTATAAACAGTGATATTTTTTGGAGCAAATATTTTTTCATATATCCGTTGCACAATTATGTAATTGTCTTTATCATGTTATTACATTTTAGGGATGTTGACGAGCCTTTTTCCTGTTTCCGCACTGAAGCGTCAAGCTGCGAATGACGTCCAAATTTACCTTAATTTTGTTAAAAATATCACGGCCGTTATAAAGTGCGGACGAAATTGCTTAAACGTGCGAGGGGGGCAGGGGCGGTCATTTTTCACATTCAACAAATTATCTCGTGATTTAGGGCCGTTTTTCTGATGTTCTCTGCGACGATTGCGTTCCATCGTGACAAATAGGGGTAATAATTTCGCGTGACACACGTGGGGTCGTCATTTACTAACGGTCCGGATCATGATTTATTCGAATAGGGGGCGGGGGGGGGAGGCCAACGCGCGTGACCAGTTTTCCAAAACAGGGAAATTACGTTTAGGTCAGTATTTAAAGGGGGGTTGGTTGTCATTTTCGAGTTGGTGATCCTGTGTGCTGTTGTGAGGGCTAATACACGCGTGTTGCTTGCCGCTGTAGCAACCTGTGCAATTTTAGCCTACCGGGTCGACTTGACATCGCGGTATACACATTACCGACGGCCTAGTATAAACACTTTAGT